CAACACCCACCCACCCCCACCCCCACCCTCCCACCCACCCGAGATGGTGGGCCGGTCGTACGAGGTGCCCAGGTGGTACTTCACGTCGCCGCTTCCCATGTACGTGTCCCCGCTGGTGTCACCGCCCTTGGACGGCTTGCGCCCCGCAAACTCCGAGAACACCGCCTCCATGGGCTTCCGCATCACATTGGCCAGAACATTCAGGCGCCCTGTGTGTGGGGGAGGGAGAGGGAGGGGCGCAGGCCGGGTGAGACGACACGCAGCGCAGCGCCGCGGTCGGTGCGGCACCACCCCAGGGCGGGCGCGGTCGGGCCTGGGCACACAGGAAAAGCGTGCGCCGCGGCGTTGTGGCGGCTGGGCAGGGCGAGGTGGGGTGGGGGTGGGGTGGAGGAGGTGCCGGCAGGCAGGGCGCAGCAGCGGGCGGCACCAGCCCAAACAGCAGCCCACACGCCTGCTGCGAAACAAACCAAATCCACCCAGCGCCCGCGCTGCAACCGCCCCGCACCCACCCCTGTGCGGCATGCCGATGACCACGCTGCTCACGCCCTGGTCGGCGGCGCTGTCGATGAGCGCCTTCATGCCCGGGATCAGCGCCTCGCACCCCTCCAGCCCAAACCGCTTGGCGGCCGTGTACTTGTTGGCCAGGAAGGACTCAAACATCTCGCTCCAGGTCAGCCTGCAGGGGGCACACAAGGGGGGCACGCCAGGTCAGCAGCGTGCAGCGCCACGTCAGCGGGTGGTGGGGCCAGAGGTCGGGCGGCACCATGGGACAGCAGGCACCCATGCAGGCGCACACACGGCCATCCACGCCTCACCTGCACACACCTCCAGTACTCACCCCCCCCACCCACCCCACAGGCCCCACCCCCCCACACACCTGTCCAGTATGCGCAGCTTCTCCTCCTGGCTGTACTCCTGCCGCTCAGCCGTCTCGATGCGCGCCCGCAGCCAGTTGCAGCGCTCAGAGTCGGGGATGTGCATGTACTGCAGCACAGGGGGAAAGGCAGCAGTACACACGAGAGGGCCGGTGAAGCGGCGGCGCATGGTTACAACATGAAGGACGGTAGGACGGGCGACGCCCTGCCTCCCGAGCGTCCGCCGCAGCCGCCCCTCCCTCATACCGTGCCCACAGTGGCAGCGCTGCCACCGCAGGCCACCTGCTTTGCCACGGTCTCCCCCACCCGTCCACTCTCACCACGCCACACGCCCGCCACCACCACCACCACCAGACCCGCCTACTCTCACCCACCACCCCCACCACCCACCTCGTATCCGATGGACGAGCAGTACGTCTCCCTCAGTCGATCCAGGATCTCGCCCAGCGTGCGCACCTGGCGCCCCTCAGCCATGAACCCCTCTTTGTTCCAGGTGCCCAGGTAGAACCTGGCAGGCAGGGCGGGGGGGGGCGGCACGCCACGCCTCAACCACGCCGCCTGCCGGCCCGCGGCGCCCGGCCTGCTGGCGCAGGCAGCGCGTGCGCGGCAGCCAGCAGCACAACAAGAGTGCAGAGCAAAGCAGCCAAGCACGCAGGCCAGCAAGAAGCGGGCCAGCATGCAGGAAGGCAAGCACGCAAGCAAGCAGGCAGTCAAGCAGGCAGCAAGCCAGCAAGGCAGCGGGGCGGCCGCTCACTCCCGGTTCAGGTCCTTCTCCGTGAAGCCGTAGTATGCGGGATCCAGCTCCTTGACCCGAGGCCGCTCGTCGATGCCCAGCGGGTCCAGCTGGGCTGCACGGCGCAGCGGGGTAAGGGTGGGGGAGGACGCAAGTTGCGGGCGCGGCGCCGGCGGCGGATAGGCGCAGCGCATCGGCGGCGGCCGCCGGGCCTCCGCACTGCATTCGCATCCAGGAAGCATCCCCACCTCACGCCCCCTCCTCGCCACCACGCACCCACGCATCCACGCGCGCGCCCTTGCCTCTTCCCTCCCCTCCCCTCTCTCACCCGCGTAGTGGCCCATGACCTGGAAGGCGCGCACCATGAGCAGCAGCCGCATGCTCTCCTGGATCGTCTGGTTGGAGATGGCGGCGGCGGTCAGCGGGCTGGTCACCTCCCCCCGCTCGAACGCGTCGTACGCCTCCGCCACCGACTCCGCCGGCACGCCCATGTCTGCAGGCAGGCAGGCAGGCAGGCAGGCAGGCAAATAAGCAGCAGCGGCAACAGCACCCATGAACAACACAGAGGTCCAGGGGCGCGAGGGCGGGGCGGCGGGTGACGAGGCGAGTGAGCCATGCCGCCTTGGCGTCATCATGCCCCCCACTGAGCTCACAAGCCGCCAGCACCGCGGGCTGGCTGCCTCCAGGCCGGTGATGACTCATAGGACCCCAGCTGGCGGCGGCGGCTGCCGCCACCCGCCGGGTGCCGGCAAACCCTTTGGCCTGGCGGGCCCCGGCAGCTGCAGCGCGCCCAAGCATGGCCCCCTCACCCATGCTGTGGAAGAAGGAGGCCCATGACTTGTCCACGCTGCGAGGATTGGCCCGGTAGCGCTCCTCCAGCTCCTCCAGGTATGTGCTGGACGTGCCGTCCAGGAAGCTATCCTTCAGCTTGGACAGCGGCACGGGCTCGGGCTCCGCCGCGAGCTTGTCGCCGCTGGACTGAAAGGCGCGCGCCATCAGGGGCTGAAAGCCCCTGCTGCGCCTCGCTAGGCGCCCCAGCGACAGCATTTAGCTGATCATCAGCACAGGGGAGGAGTTGAGGAGGAACAACAGCCGGTGCAGCCGCCATACCCTCATGCAGTCGCCAGGTGGCGCCGGTTTGGAAGTATTCTTGGGTCAACGGTCCCCAATTTGCGCTGATGATACGGCTGGACGCCACTGCAGGCTGATGCATGTGCAGCAACGCTTGAGGAAACTCTGCAACGGCAGGAGAGCTTACTCGCAGTGCTGCCGGGTAGCGACGGCAAGGGCGGCCACGCCGTGGAGGCACGCTGGTTGGCCGGCATGTTCTGCGAGCTATAGTCATCGCCTGGGATCGACTACTAAAAGTGCAAGCCAGCACGCACACAAGCTGCTGGTGCCCAGCAGTTGGGTACCGCCTGAGCTGCAACGGCGCCAGCCATCGCCACAAAGAACCTTTGTTGCCTACCGTGCCCTTGCCTGCATTGCCTGCGGTGCCCCTTACGAATCCATGGAACCCAAGGCCCTCAATCATGCCCATGAGCTACGCCTGCGGGCCTCAAGGCAGCGCGGTCAAGCGGGCGGCGCTCGTACCCGCCAGCACTGGCGGCTTGTTTGGGAGCACCCAGCTTGCGTCCTACCATCCAGCCGCTTCCTGCGACACTCCTTGAATTATCACAAATAGGGCCCGTCTGTTCCTGCCGTTGCAGCAATCATAGGCGTGGTTCCAGGCATGAGTACGTGGGGTGTACTGCGAGGGGGCCGTCGAGCTTGGCAGAACGCTAGTTTGGCTGTTCCAAACCAAGCAGGCACACAAGCTGATCAAAGGAAACTAGCGGTCGCGAGGGTCTGTGCTCGGCAAGCGACGCCATAAGCTTGAACAAATCGGAGGTGCGCAGAACGGGCTGACGCTTTGAATTTAAGGTGCATACGCCCTGCCCTTGCTGCCCTGACGCGCTCCCCGGCGCTACCGGAGGTTGGCCCAGCATCAGGGGCAGCCAGCGCAGCAGATGGTCGCCCGTCAACTGCTGCCTTGATGGCGCCGAAAAACCTTTCGGAGAGTGCTTGGCGTTCATCTGGCAGCGGGCCAAGGGTGCCTGGCCACCATCGGCAGCCCTGCTTTTGAGTCCCCGTTGAGTGTTGGCAGCCCAATCGTGCGCTCGATCAGCGGTGCTGGGCAGCCTGCCAGGTGCAGGAAGCATGTCGATCATCAATAACGGCACTGATGTGCGCTCCATTGCACAGCTGCACCCACCTTTTGCGCACGACGCCGCCGCCCTCCCCGCTCCCTCCCTTGCGCCAATTTGCCCAGCTCCCTGCTTTTGTTCTCCATTTGGCATTGGACGTGTCCCTCATCGAACACCATGATCGGCTGCACTCCATTTTGGCTGATGCTGCGCTGTCCCCTCGGTGCTGACCTGCCAACAAGCCGTTGCATTCCCCCGCTCCTGCCTTGCAGGCCCACCTTGGTGTGTTGACCACAGCAGCATCCGCTTGACCAGCAGCAGCAAGTCAGCAGCAGCGGCTAGCAGCGGGACGGCGGCAGGCATGGGACGCAGCTGAGGTGGCGTCCCTCCCCCCTCCGCACCGCATGCCCATGACGACGCAGGCAGCGGTGGCGGCGGCCGGCAGCGGCGGGCCCGCCGCCAACGGCGCCGCCGCGGCCGCGCCTGGCGCCAGCGTGGCGGTGAAGAAGGAGGCGTCGCCTGTGCCAGACGGCAAGGGCGCCGCAGCAGGGGCAGCAGCACCGCCAGGGGCTGCCGGCGGCCGCGGCGGCACGCCCAGCGACGGCCGCCAGCGCTCCAAGTCTGGCAGCCCGGGAGCGGGCGGCGGCGGCGCCGCCGCGGTGCAGGGCACCCCCGAGGCGGGCGCAGCAGCGGGGGCCGCCGACGGCGCCCAGCCTAGCCCCAAGGATGAGGAGCAGCGGCGGCTGGAGGATGAGATCCTGGCAGAGGGGCAGGCGATTGCGGGAGTGCGGGCCCTGCTGGCCCGAGCCTTCAGGTCCGGGCGGCGGCCGAGGGAAGGACAGCAGCACGGCCGCCGGCGCGGCCTGCGCTGCGGCTGCGCCCGCAGGGGGAGCTGCGGCGCCAGGCTGGATTGCCTGCCACGCCGGCACGTCGTGTGGCCTTCCTGTGTTCTGTGCTGTCTCGTTGGGTGAGCGGCGCCTCTCACGCCTGGGGCCTCCCTCCCTGCGCTGCCTGCTGTGCAGCCGGCCGGCGGAGGAGCCCGTGGCGCCCCAGGGCCACTGGAGCTTCCTGCTGAGGGAGATGCGGTGGCTGGCTAACGACGTGGCGCAGGTGAGCCGGGCTGGCCGGGTGGCGGTGGCACACTCTGCGCTGCTCCGCCGGGTGGGCCAGGCTGCAGGGTGCCGCCCCTGGCAGCCGCCCCGCGCAGTGTGTGTGCCCCGCCGCGGCGCCCACCTTCCGTGCCGCCGCGCGCCGCCGTGCCGTCGCAGGAGCGGCTGTGGAAGCAGGCGGCGGCCATGGCTGTGGGGTATGAGGTGGCCAGGCTGCAGGGCAAGTTTGGGCTGCGGCCGCCGCCAGAGGGGCAGCGCGCCTTCCACGACGAGCTGGTGGCGGCACGCACGGCGGCGGCCAAGGAAGCCGCCGAGAAGATTGGCGGGCGGCGGTCAGGTGTGACGGCGGCAGGGAGGGAGGAATGGATGGATGGATGGAGAGATGGAGGGAGGGAGGCAGCGGCAGCGGCAGCGGCAGCAGTGGCGGGGAGGTGGAGCAGGGCCCCGGCCCCGGTTGTGCGGCCCGCTGCTGGCTGCCTGCCTGGCGTGCATGTCGCCCTGCGCCTCGCCTCCCTCGCCCTTCCTCGCCCTCCCGGCCCTCCTGCCCTGCCGCTCACCTCCACCCCCACCTCCACTTCACCCACCCCTCTCCCTGCCCCGTGGCACCGTCCCCCACCTGCCCCCAAGCAGCCATCAAAGCGGCGGCAGAGTCCAACGGCGCAGCTGCCCTGAAGCTGGACCCAGCTGACGAACCCGTGTTTGCTGACCTGGAGGGCTTCGAGCTGAGCCTGGTGGCCCTGATGGAGCAGCAGCAGCCCGGCACGCCGCCCATGACGTGAGCGGGGGGGCGCCTCGGCTGGCCGCCTGGCCGGCCGCCGTGCGGGGGCCGGGGCTCTGCGGGGACCTTTTGCCCGGCTCCACCAGGCGGCACGGGAAGGCTGCTGGGCCCTCTGTGGTGCCGTGCGGAGGCCCTGCCGAGGCGGCCAGCGGGGGCCCCCGCCTGCCTGCCTCATGGAGCGCCCCCTGCAGTACCTTGCCTGCCTGCCCACCCTCTCCGCCCGCCACACACGTGCCCCCCGCCCGCCCCTCCCGCACCTCCCCGCAGCGACCCCGCCGCCGCCCCGGGCCTCGTGTTCTGCCACGACGGCGCGTTCCAGGAGGCGCTGGAGGCGCACCTGGTGCAGAGCGACGTGGAGCGGCTGATGCGGGAGGAGATGGTGGGTGGCAGCGGCTGTGTGTGTGTGTGTGTGTGTGTTGCGTGCTTGTGGCGGTGGCGTGGCGGTGCAGCGGGGGGCATGCCACGGCCCGCCCTCGCCACCCTGCCTGCAATTCCTCAAGACCCCCGCTGCCGTGCTGCCACGTCTGCTCACCGCTGCCGCACACCGCTGCCGCTCACCCCCGCCCCCGCAGGCCGCCCGCGAATATCGGTTTGAGTACGACGCCGCGCTGGCCAGCCACCACATGGCGGTGCAGGACCAGAACCGGCGGGCGATGCGGCTGGATGCTGACATGGCGGATGCGGGTGGGTGTGGGGGTGCCTCCCTGGCTCCCTGGGCTGGGCTGGGCCGGCTGCGCGGCTGGGCTTGCTTGCTTGGGAGCGTGTGCAGGCCGTGTGTCAGCAAGGGACAAGCGCGCAGCACAGACTTTGGGAGGGCGGGCCTTGCGGGGCGGCGGGTGGGCGGCGCGGTGCCTGGTGTGGGTGGCTGCGCGGCCCCTGCCAGCGACAGGCCGGCAGGTGGTGCCTTGCGCCTCCCCTTCTGCACACGCACGCGCACTACACACACACACACAACGCATGACACACTCACACATACACACCACCACCACCACCACCACCACGCATGGCACACACGCACCCACCTCCTCCCCACCCCCACCCTCCTGCAGAGGGCCTTGTGCCGATGGATGAGGACTTGGGTGACGAGGAGGAGTATGGGGGCAAGAAGGCCAAGAACCGCAAGCGCCAGCGCTCGGGCGGCTACCTGCTGGACGAGTTTGCCAGCCTTGGGGCGGGGGCGGCAGCGGAGGAGACGGGTGGGTGCGGGGCGCGGTGGGTGGCGTGCGGGGGGCAGGGGTGGAGGTGGAGGGCGGGCCGGGGCAGAGGGCAGGGCAGGCCAGGGTGGGCAGGGCAGCGTAGCGCCAGGCAGAACGCTGGGCTGGCTGGCACAGCGTGCTCCAGGGGGGGGCACGGCATGCGCAGCGCGGCAGCAACAGAGCTCTGGCTGCGCTGTCCCCACTTTTGCCTGCCCCCACCCCACCCGACCCCACCCCACACACGCTTGCCTGCCGCCCGCTGCCTGTGCAGAGTCCATGGGCGGCGCTGTGCCCAAGCAGAAGGCGGCTTCCAGGCAGTACATAGAGGACACGTACCTGCAGCGCAAGCGGCGGCGCGAGCGGTACAAGTGAGGCACAAGTGCCTGCGTGCGGTTTTGTATGTATGCGTGTGTGTGACATGCGGGTGGGTGGGGTGCCGGCCTCTCACCCGCGGAGCAGCGGCGGCAACGCCCCCCACTCCTTCCCCCTCGGCCACCGCGAGCCCTTGTGCTTGCCCCTCCGCCGCCCTGCTCTCCCCTCCCAGCGCCTCCTCCCAACCTGCTTGTTTATTGTGTAGACAGTGCAAAATGAATTTTGAAATCGCTCCCACCCTGCCGCCGCCCTGCACCCTGCAGAGACGTGGATGTGGATTACGACGTCGGCATGGAGACGGCGGGGCGGTACGGCACGAGGGCGAACCGCGCGCTGGCCACCCGCGCGGGCGCCTCGCGCGCGCAGGTGGGCGCACACGCCCCGCGGGCCTGCCTCTCGCCAGCCTGCCTCTCGCCAGCGCTCCTCGCCCCTGTCCCCTTGCCCGGCCCCCAGCTTCCCTCCTCGCCTCTGCCTCCCCTGCCCGCTCCCCAGCTTGCCTCCTCGCCTCTACCCCCCTTCCCCTGCTCCCCCCCGACCAACCCGCCCCTTGCCTCCAACCCACTCCCCCCACACCCACACCATCTCCTCAAGCAGGACCCCAACAAGCGCAAGCAGCAGCTCGGGCGCGCCGACAGCTTTGCCGGCGTGCCCGGCGGCGCGATGGCGGGGCGGCCGGGCGCGCGGCTGCCCCCCGGCGCCGTCCCCGGCCCCGTCATTTGGTCCAAGGGCGAGGACGACCTTCTGCTGGCAATCACTCACGAGTTCGGGGTCAACTGGACCATGGTGGGTTCCATGCCCATGCCGTGCTGTGCGGGGCTGTGCGGGGCTGTGCGGGCGGCGACGGCGGCGGGTGGGGGGCGCGGTTCTGTGAGCGCGTGTGTGTGGTGGCGTGGTGGTGGGCGTCTGCGAGTGTGTCTGTTGGTGGGGCTCTGCGTGTGTGTGGGTGTTGTGTGTCAGCGAAGGGGAGCTCGAGGATGCTCAGCCACGCTGAGCCACGCTGAGCACGCTGTGCCTGCCCTCCGTCTCTCGCAGGTCTCGGAGGTGCTCAGCCTCAGCCTCAGCATGCAGGGCATCTTCCGCCCGCCGCACCTGTGCAAGCAGCGATTCCGGCAGATCACGGTGAGCGGGCAGCAGACACAGCGTGGCTGCGTCCTGCCCCCACTCA